CTCTCTCTCTCTCTCTCTCTCTCTCTCTCTCTCTCTCTCTCTCACACACACACACACACACACACACACACACACACACACACACACACACACACAGACACACATTTGGAAACTAATGGACAAGAGAGCACAACTGCTTCAATCGATCACTCGTTGTTTCCAATCAAAAAGGTTGGGACGACAAACGAGTTGCAAATTGGCTGGCAGGCAGATCCAGAGCCCGACATTTATTGCGGAATTTAGGGCACAGCTTAGATTTACCAAAAATGTACGATTCCGGAACTATTATGTTTTTTTTTTTTTTTCCAGCTTGTCTAGATCCATTGGACATCTTAAGATTCACTTCGTCGTAAAGAAGGTGTGAACAAATGAAAGCCCAATCACTCGTTGTATTCAATCAAAACAGGAGTGACGAAAGAGTTGCATACCGGCTGGCAGATCCACAGACCCCTCTGAGTTACGACTGCTTGATGGACACCCTGGTCAGACCCCTTGCTCGTCGCTTACGCCTCAATTCCAAGCATCATATGTCAACAGTCGATGCCATGGTTTAAACCACCAGTACTTGGCCCAGCTATCGGCCGCAGAAAAAAAAAAAGAGTAGAAACGAAACGTTTCTAGTCAGAAATTTGGAAGCTCGTGTAGTAGCCCGTACGTTTCCTACAATCGGGGAGCGTTAACGAGCATGACTCTAGGAAGTACTGGCGGAATCTACTGCCTTCCTGGCCGTCGAGAGTTCTACCGGCCGACAGACCAGATCGCCACGCAGTCTTAATACCCTAATAAACCAGCACTACGTTGCCCAGGGAAACTGTTGATCTCCAAATGTGCACAACCACACTGTTTGGACGAACCGTACGACCCAATTAAAATGGCTGGCGGCGAAAACCGAAACTAAGTTCGCATTGTTTGGGCACCCAGGGGCCAGGGGGAATCCCATGGCCGCAAAAGGAGGCCGGGAGGAAGTAGCGGTTTAAGATCTCACAAGAACCCAGCCTTCGGCTCAGTAGGACACAACAGCCTGGAGATAGAGAGTTGCTACATTCACAGGACAAAACAGACACAGTACGCCTGCGAGGATGCACCAGCCCAGACGTGAGATTTCTTTACATGAACAGATTTGGTAGTGTGGGGATTGGATGCATCTGCCGATGAGCAAGCACCGACTCGACTCTTTCAGACAGTTCTAGTAGAGAACCCATCGAGCAAAAACAACGTGGGCAACGAAGCAAAGAGACTGGAAAGGGTGAGGTATGGAGGGAAGCGGAGGGGGAGGATGCATAGCTTGCACCGACGAGAATAACTCGGCGAACACTGCAGCAGACTAGATGGAACTTTTACGGCAAACCATCTCGTCATCGCAAGTCGTCCAGAAAAGAAATCTGTTCAGCAAAACTTGAGGATAAGCCACTTTGCAACCCTGCCTGAGAAAGATCAGAGCAGCTCCTCTTCCAGGCACTCTCACTTCCCGTGCCTCGATTATCAATGAACATACAATGCAAAAGTTGAATTGTACACATTCAATGAGCCAGATTTTGGAGCGCTAACCAGCGATATCCAAGTGCACACAGTTGTATGTGCACAAGAGAGTGCAAGCCACAGTGCGCGTTGTCATGTTCGCTATACAACACAAAAAAATCATTTAAAAATGCAAAACTCCACAAAAAAAATGCAACTCCACAAAAAGTACAACTCCACAAAAAAAACACAACTCCACAAAAAAATGCAACTCCACAAAGAAATGCAACTCCACAAAGAAATGCAACTGCACAAAAAAAAATGCAACTCCACAAAGAAATGCAACTGCACAAAAAAAATACAACTCAACAACAAAATGCACAACTTTGCTAGAGTGTGCATGTGTGTGTCCACTGCCATGGTCACAAAAACAATCATGACTATAAACCGCAAAAAGAGCTGACATCTCCATCCTCATCAGGAGGTGTGTGCATTGTTCATGTTCACAAAAAAAAATCACGACTATGCCAGAGTGCTTAGTCGTACTTTCACTGTCTCATCCTGAAGTCAAAGCCCATCAGTCTTCCCAAGATGCATTTTGACTTTGACTGATGTATAAGGACTCACCCCAGCGCCCACAGTTTGCAATACCCATAAGGAAAGTGGTCGATTTTACCCTCAGCAACCCTAGGATGTGTGTGTGTGCTGTCTCTTATACACATCTAGATGTGTATAAGAGACAGTGCGTATACAGTGCGTCGCCCAAGCGACCAACCCT